AGGCACGCTCTGGAAAAGCCTGTTGAGAAATATGGCAGCCCTAGTGATGCAGAAGTGGTTGCCTGACAGCTGAAATCACGACACAGAAAACATGAGATAACTTACATCATACAGACAAGGATAACGGGAAAATTAAGTAAAGCAGGTAAGGTGAAAGCAGCTTGTGTACAAATGCTCTACATTGCTTTTTTTTGTGACAACCAATGCTTCACATCACAAGTGATTTGCAGTGCTACATGTGGACTGTGTAAATGCACGCACTTCTCAATTTTCATTACAATACTCCTTTGTAAATTAAATAATAGCAAGAGTAGTGGCCTGCACAAAGGGACCTTGACAAAGGAGAGACCATTCCAGGATCAATAGCAAGTTGTAAAGTTATTAATAGGATAATTCCTGTAACTTATAATCAAGGGTGAGGCCCTTGAAAAGCAGGACTCAGAAATAAAACTGCCACGTAATTGCTGTGGGAAACACGACTTCCCACAAAACTAGTCATATTGAAAACTAAGTTCTTCCTACACTGCAAGAATGATCAAGAAGTGTTCCAAGTTAATTTTTTTTATTGACGCTGCATTATCTCTAACCCTAAAAAAAAAAAAAATTGAAAATAATTTAGAAATCAATAACTTGTGAGTTTGGGTTCCACCCCCCCCAGGAACCAAGCTCCATAGACTTGGAAGGTCAAAAATTCTTCAATGGTTTCTTCTGTAAAACTTTCATGCAACACTTTTCTTCAACAGATGAAACTCATTTAATGACACCAAAAATTAAGAATAAAATATTACAGCTATTTTTCACAGGTCTAATACCATTTCGATTGACCAAATGGATTCATAAAAACACCTTTTTGTCTCACATTTTCTAATATGGATATGCAGACATGTACGTAGGAAAGCAGAGCAACAATATAACTACAAAGTGTTTTTCAACAGTAAGATCAAGCTGGTGAAAACATAGCTATAACTCACATTTCTCTTCAGAAATACGACTTAATATTCCTCATTGTTTTCATTTTCACATTCAGCTTCCAAAACTCTTCTCAAATCCATGCTCTAACCATACATCTCTTTATTTACTCACCCTAGGAGCACAGTTTCAACTGTTTATTATTCAACCTCATCTTACTGTGGGCAGCACATACTACTTTTAACTTATAGTCATTTTACAGCTTGGTAAGATTCTTTATGAAACTTGCCATGCTACCAATTTTTCTGTCAGAAAATTTGATTACTGATGCTTCTACATCCAGAAGGTCAGCAAAATAAAACATTAAACTTCCCAGAAGGCCTTTACACACTGTTACAATATATGTAGAGGCACAAAAGATGCTCCTGTAGAGCAAAAAGCAATTCAAAACACATCAGCACAGCTGAAGCTTTCTAGGATGATAGACCTGATCTGAATCCTGTTGCAGGTTCTGTAACAGGTGGGTAGACCTCTTTCCACAGAGCACCACCTGACAGCCATTGACAAACTCATTTTTTTCCTGCAGAAAATGAATGTCAAATACCATGATTTAGCATGGGATCTTCGTAAAAGTGTTTAAAGTAAAATTATGCATTTAACGTGACTTTGGTCCCTTGAGATCTTATTGGAATTGCCTTATTCCTGACTGTGCCACTTAATTCTGTTTCCTAAAGAATTTTAAAGAAATTTCAAACACTAGTTCAGTTACACAGGGAGGAAGGCTTTTCTTTCACAGATGGGAAAGGGAAGCATACAGGGGGTGGAAAACCTTCTCAAGATTGAGAATGTCATCAAGATGACATGGCAAGGACTATAGTACCTAGTCATCATTTTCTTATCAGGCAGTGGTCTCAGCAAGAGAAAAGTTCTGTTGTGATCAATGGGGAGTAGATTTCTGTGCATCTTTTAAAATTGCTCATAAACCATAAGTGAGAGAAGTGGAAAAACAAGGTCTAAGTCATGAAGATGCGTATCTATATGAACTCTTACCGTTTCCTCTATAAGTACAGGAGAACCACATAGATAAAGTATCAACCAACCTTTCCCCTGTTGGCACTGCTCAGCAGGAGAACAGTGTATCATCCAGGAGAACTTGAGTGCTGCAACTATCAACCTCAAGGTCTTTAAAAGGTCACTTGTCCAGAACCAAGCCATTACCATTGCTTGCTGTTACCTGTTCCTTCACCACAAGTGACAAAATCTAAAAGCTGGTTTCACATTAGGTTAAACACCACAGTTTGCATCCTGCTTCTACCACTTCATTTAGAAAACTTTTCACTGAAACTTCCATATTTTTTCTGTGAAACCTCTCCATTTCTTGTTGCAGACTTAAAGGCATTTTACTGGAAAGGGCCATATTCTTTCACTGAAGTTGTGCATACAGATTTTTATCTGTCACTTCAGCGTAAAACAAGGCATATTTATAGTAAGCACAACAATATTAAGGGCTCATTAGGCTGTTCAGTAACTACTCTATATTTCTAATCATCAAGTCCATTACTAACTTTTCCTTAATGTAGCCAATGCAGAAATTATAATCCAAAATGTGTTTCTGATAAGGGACAAGTAATTAACTAAGTAAATAATTTTCAGTGCCAACATAACACAGCACTACTGTATATATAAACATGGGACTTCTTTAAATTATGTAATGCTGCTTTAGCTTCAGAATATCTGACCATTTCCACAAGGAAGACACCAAGGGATTGGATGGCTTTTAGGGATCAGCAAAAGGACAAATTAAAACACTACTCCAAGGAACAGTATAACTTTCAGAGATCAGGTAGAGAAGGACCATTTATTATAGAAAACCACAAAAGCCCAGTGCTGGAAATGCTCTGTAATCCCAAACATATGACCTCCCTCCTCACAGCCAGCAGTCAGCTCCTGCCTGTCGAGCAGGGAAGTGCTGCTGGAGCTGCAGGAGCAGGGCTGGGTGGGAGCTCACTGCTGAGGGCAAGGGGCATGCCCTGGGAGCCAGGCATCTGCTCCTGAGCTCAGCATACCCTATCCTGGGGACTGGGTTATTTATCCTCCATTCACTGATGCCTGCCCAGAGCTGGCAAGGTTCAGCTGGCTTCGTTATGGAAACCCCTCCCATCAAATTCTTATGAAAAAAATTATTCTAGTGGAGTTAGCATGAGAAGGATGTCACATCCATGAGGAAAAGGAGAAGCAGCAGCACATGGGCAGCTGCAAATGCACACCACACTCTCCACTGGAAGGAGCAGAATGCCTGTGGCAATTTTCCATAACGTTGACATCTTACTAATACAGTTTGTGGGAAACAGAAAAGATAAATTCGATCACAATTAAATTTACACAGTATGTGAATTAAGGGTTTCAGGATTCTGTACTGAGATGGTAAGCCTGTGCAAAACAAAACAAAAACAAAACAAACAAACAAACAAAAACAAACAAACAAACAAAAAGAATAAAAAAGGCCAAGAAACATAGATGTATTACTGGAATAAGTGATACCACGGTTCAGTAACAAAACTGGCAATGGCAGTTTGCACATAGAGCATCTGGGGTGTTTGTAAGACATCCTTTTAAGATTTCTTTTTTTCCCCCTTCATTATTGAAATAACTGTTAGAAGAATTTTGAGTCTTTAAACCCAATTTCCTCTAAAGAGCAACTTTCTCATCACTACCAGAAGTCCACCTTGTACACTTAGCACATACCTTGTAGCTTTGCCTTTCAAAGCATTCACTGTTAAAGCATTACATACGATAGTAATTACTTTGCTGGGTTGCTAGATTTTTGAGTCTACAGATTAAGTAAGTCTACAAGCACCATGGCAGTCTTCTCATGCTTAAAATAATTCTATATCATTAGAAAGATGTTACAACCTCAGTTGATCCCTCACTTAAAACTGTTCTCATTTTTGTTTGTTGTTTCTTGGATTTTTTTTAAAGCAGGACTAGCCCAATTTCAAAACAAAAGTTGTTTTATTTCTCTCTGATTCACCACCAGAAATCTGATAGTATATAGAGAATGCAAATAAAGATTTATTGTGCAGTTGTGGAAGACTACGTATAAAATCTAAACTATATGCACAGACACACATAAGATTATTTTTCCTACTGCGATTTAACCTTAAGTTTCCTTTCTTTTTATTCTGTTCATGGTAAGTCACCACATCAAAAGATTATCCATCACATTTTAAGGCAAAGGTATTTGCAGGGTTTTAAAATATACCACAGAAAATTTATAGTTCCCACTCCCCATTTATTTTCCCCATTACAGATCCAATATCCTAAGACAACAGAGCTGAAAATACCACAAATTAAACATATAGAACAGTGTTCGTATCAGTTGAGCAGGAGGCAGAGAGAATATAAAAAAAAAAAAAAGTTTGCACACAGTTGCCTTTCACTCCGAGAGCCTGGTACAATGAGAGATTTGTTTTGCCATTGTTCTTTACACCCATCTTAATGCACAAAACATGCTTGGGCAGAGATTACTTTTCCTCCAGTTTCAGCCCGAGCAAAAATTTTGCTGAAGGAAACACTTCAGATACAGTGAAAATACTAACTCTACCCGTTGGTTTAATGCCAGGAAGTATATCCCTGGGAAATTTAGTCCTAACACGGAATAGTATGAGGAAGTGTGTGAAAAAAGAAACAATAGTAGTTATTGTGAAAATTAATTTTTAAAGAGAACAGTTCTCAGCTTTGACAGAAAGTGTTTTCTGGAGTGGGTAGAGGCCATGTTGAACTTCCTTGCTCATCTGTGCGACCCCTGCCTATCAATGTCAACACTTTATTAATATTTTACTGAAAAAGTGCGAGAGGATTCAAACTTTGTCTGTCTTGGTAGGTGTTGCTAAGCAACTTTGCTCCTTGTCTGAGAACTAGTTTTCACAGCAACCTTTCCTTCAAGGCAAAGACCCGTGTCCACTTGAAACACTTTCTCCTCTGTCAATGAAAACCCCGGCAAGTTATATTCCACCCTTCCCTTTATACTTTCCTCTCTACCTCCCAGCTGAAAAGAAAGGGATTTAACGTGCCTGAAATCCTCTACGTACCATAATCACTGTCATAGAACACTATGAATTTCTGCCACCGCAGCTCAGTGACCAGTTTGAGCATGACGTCGTTGAGGCGGACGGGCGGGCGGGCGGCCAGCGTGTACTCCTCCTCCTCCAGGCTGGGGTTCAGGTGGCAGGCGGTGCGGGGGGAGCCTCCTGTGTTCCGCTGGACAAAGAGGTGTGGGATGTGCATGGCATCCGTCAGGGACTGCAGGGCGTTGGCTGAGGCACAGCCAGTGGACGTCACTAAGGCCAAGATCCCCAGGGTCATCAGGTCACAGGCTGGAGAAGACAAGAAATAAAGTAGGGTTTGAGTAAGCTCAGCAATGCCTCTGACAACCTAGACACTAGGAAGGGAACAAGACAAGCTTTGCCCTTGCCATCAACACAGAGCTGAAATTATTTATATTACAGTATCAGCTAAAGCCTTTCAGAGTTAGGTTCTGCACCTTTACAGTAGGAGACAGTATCTGCAATCTGTACTGATATGTCAAAGTGGAGGACAGATAATGTAGCTACTGTCAGTTCTTGAGACATTAGCAGATATGGATGGAGATTATGGTCCTTGCTTCAGGTCATTCCTGGTGGAAGCAGGAACTGAACTCCCATCTTTTAAAACTCATTTCACTGCTTTAACCCCTTAATCTTCATTAGGCACATTGGATGAAGATTTTGGACAGTAAAGAGCAATTTCCATTTCAAGGATTTGTGTTACACAGCAGAGTTGTGAATGATTTTTTAAATTGATGAAAAAGACATTCACTGTAAGTCTCAGAGCAACGAAGAAACAACAAAGGCACTCATTAGAACAAAGACAACTTATGAATGATTAAATAATTATTAACAACACTGTAGCTGTCCTTAAAAAGATCTGGAAAAGCATGTACCATTTAAAAACAGAGCATACAATTTGACCCCATCTGCTTTTGAGAATGAAGTATTAGGTGAGTTTGAAGCACAGGCCATGCAGGCTGGGCAGAGCCCTGGGAAGCTGGTTCTGCTGCTCAGGACATCCCACACGGCTTGTTCTTCCCAGGACTCCTCCAGGTAAGACACCCTGATATTAAGCTGTCGTTGGAAAGTGTTTCCAGCCAAGGCCCCCGGGTATAACTCAGCAGCTATTTAGTCCGTGGTGGTGCTAAGACTGTGTAAGAACTACAAAGCAGTCAGCAATGCCAGTTTTTACTAACTCTCTTGAGGAAGTGGCAGCAAAGTTGGCCCTGGGAGCTGAGCACAGCAAACATAATGGGTTAGCATGGCACCAGCCCTGAGCATCCCCCAGGGGCACTTGGAACTGCCTACTCCTCTCTGCCTTTGAAGAGGGCTGGAGGTAAGCTCAGGGTTCCAGCAGCTGTTTCAGTCCCCAGGAACCACCTGCCCAAAGGAAACCTCTGCTCCGCTCCTCCACCACAGAGTCCTGCTGTAATAAAGCCAGACCGGAGGTGACTGGAGATGCTCCACTGCAGTCTGCACAAGCTTGCTAACAGTGGGTAAACGAAACAGCCTCTGGGGTGTAATTCAGAGCCCCTCCAGGACACACAGAGAGCTGAGCAGGAAATTCAGTTTTCATCTGGGAGGGGGAGGCTGCCCACACCGGTGCTGCCTCGCTCCAGGGTGACAGCCTTGGCACACGAGCAGGCTGCCCACACATGCCACGTGCTGCAGGACTGCCAGTGCCTGTGTCACTGCTGCTGACCCACTGCTCTGATCTCCAGCGGAAATGGGCTGAGTGTAAAGGTAGAAAAGAGAACACAATCTATTAAAAGGATTTATTTTTCCTCCTCTAAACACTTTTGAGTACATCTCCACTTTTAGAGGCCAGAAAGTCAAAGGAACTGGACAGGTTATGAATAATTAATAGTAATTAACAGTTAAGTATCAATTAATATTAATTATGTAACAGCTCAGTAATTGAATGCATAAAATTGTTTCTAACACAACCAATGAATCACTTCACCAAATATCTTCTTAGACCAGGCAGAAAATAGATATATTTCCCTTTGATATGGGATAGCAGAAGGAAAATGTTTGATCTTCTCTTTGCACAGAATGTACACCATGTATCCTGATGCAACAGAAAAAGATGAAGAGCTTTTAAAATTATTTCCTTGATGGTCTTTACAATAAACATATGCCAACAGCATTATCTAAATTTACTCTGTGTTGATTATAGTTATATGAAATTGTTCTTTGTTTTTCCTGAGAGCTGACCTGATTTAACAGCAGGGAGGCATTATATTTGCCAAATGGGAGACCCAGGTTCGGGAACAGATTTGATTTCCCAGGCTTCTTGCCAGAGAAAACTGAACATGTCATACAGGTAATTTATTTAGTCACAGTAGGGGAGGGAACGGCGAAGTGGGAACAGAGGGAGAGAGCAGCAGAGCTGAGCCATAAACCCCTGCAGAGATCACCAGCCAGCAAGCTTTGCTGTCAGCAAGGGTGAGAGAAGCAAGCAACATGGGTTTGTAGCAGGAACAATTTACTTGCAAAGCAGACAGAAGGAGAGAAAAAACAAAGCCCTTTCTGATGGGAGGCTGCATTCAGGGAGTCACTTATTCGTGCAATATAGAGCTGATCACCAGTTGTTTAACAAGAAAAACGTCCTTTCAGTGGCTGACACTAATCAAAAGCTGCTTGCTTATTAGCAGGGAGACCAGAGAGATGACAGATCATGGCAAATGGGCCCCCTTATCTCCCAGCACAGCCCACCAAACGCAGCTGAAATATCTCAAGAAAGACCATTTCAGTTGAGGCATTTTCCCAATGTTTTCTAGTTCGTGTACATGGGTTAAAAATGAAGAATTAGTCAATATGTTTCCACATTCTGATATTTTGTCAATTGATTGTGTTCTGCCTGAAAGCATGTGCTACATAGTGTTTTCTCCTCTTGCCTCTCTATTTCAAGATAGTAGGCAATAAAAACTGGAATGACTAAGTAAAAAAGGTTTCGTGTTTTCTGAATTGCTTTCTTTAGTCAAATCACAGAATGTGAAACAGAACGTGTCATTTCTAATAGAAGACTTTCATTATATAAAAATACAATGGATTCCAAGAAGTTCAACCTCTCCACACTTATTGCACTGAAGGGTGAGAATTAGCTTTGAGCACATAAAGTATTTCTTTTTACATGAGTAACACAGTGGGTTACTACTACATAACAGACTCCATTAAAAAACTCATTAACTCTTTAGACACCTCAAAATTCCTTAGCAAGGGAACGTTCAAAGATTATACAATCTCAGAAGAAAATCCTGGTGACTTTTCTTTTTTTTTTAGGATTCCTCCCACAGTCCTGCACTTTCTTTTACAGAAAACTAACATGAGAAAATGTATGTGATTTTCTGTTTTGCTTCACACTAGCTATGGATTTGTAGAAACAATCAAACATCCCTGACTATGAGATTGAATAAATCACTAATTCTGTATATCAGCTGCAGCTTCACAAGCACTCAAAAGAGCCTTGAATTTTTGCATACAAATTTCATAACCCTGGTCTTGATTTTCTTAAAGCTGAAATACAGAGATTTGAAATGTTTTGGTCTATGTCAGCCTATAATGGAAAGGGGAATCAAAACACCTTGAGAACTTTAGTGATCTTTAATTACTATATTTATAGTTATAAGAATTTAATCTTTTTATAACTGAAATGCTTCATATTTATCTTGTATATATATATTCATTTAGATAGATTTCAAGAGATAATGCTTTTAAGGTATCTGTTCCACAGATAAAAAGACATAAACATTCTAGCAATCCTGCCTCTGGATTTGACTGCTGTTTAAATAGTGAGTTATAAGTTTGCTGTACTGAATTCCTTCATCACAATTAGGCTTCCTTTTAAGAAGACACCAACATCCTAAAAACCATACAGTAAGAGAGGTGCATTCTAATGATGAAAACATAAACATCATCATACCTAAAAAATAAACCTGCATTAACCCATTCGAGCAACTTAAATCATGCCAAGCAGCTTATTCAATGTTGGCCTCTATCAACAAACCATCTCTCAAGGTTATTCTTGGATTTCATTAAAGTATTCCAAATTATTGATTAATCCTGTTCTTAATCATTTTGGGGGAAGTAACTCTCCTAACCTATTCTCTTCAAGTCTCTTTTCAGAAATTCCCCTTTTCACATCTGCTTGACATTTTATCTCTTGAGCTGTTATTTCCATTACAGTGTTTCACAAGACACTGTCTGCTTTCTTCTCCATCTATTGCCTTGGTTTTTTTCCATTTAGCTTCTCCATGTCATCTCTGTCATGATGTTGGCAGAAGTAACACAGATTAATATATTTTGGGCATTTTCTATCTTCCACTTGTCTAACTTGACTATTACATCATAGCAATATGTACTAAACTTTCTCTCATTCTGTGACCCACATCTCTAACTCCAATCACATCCCATTAAGCCACACTTAAGTCTGGAAGAACAGCAGCTATTAGATTTAAGACTGAGCCTTATCCATATGACCTTTTTCATCAGTGGGACTCCTCATGGCACATGAGATGATACAAGAATTTTACTTTGCTGCAATCATGCTGCTTGAGGTCTTGCTTTTCTACCACTGCCTTGTGTCCTGCCATCCTATTTCTGAAGACAGGTGCAGATGGCAAAGTCCTGATTTGGCACCCTTTTCATAGGGATATTTGCATTAAGGGCTTTAGCTCAGATCTCTCTGTAATTAAATCCCTCTCTCTCCAAACCACAGAGAATTAAAATACTCCAAGAGAAACTGTTATCTTGCTCCTGGCAATGTGACAACATGACCATCTCTCGGTCTCCCTTTCAGCAGTTTCCTATTATTCAGAAAAGAGTAGAAACTTGTTCCTTTGTTTCCTCCATTATCAAAAGACCAGCTGTCAGTGTAATTTCAGATCTAACAATATAGCCACCTACTGGCATTCACACTGCCTCTTCAAACTTCAATGTCATTCTGTCTCTCACTTTTGGGTATCACCATAGCTGGCCCTACCCACTCTGGACACCACCTGATACTTGATAAATCCTCTCTAAATTTTTGGTTGACCTCTTTTTTCTTATTTTTCAGTTTGATTAACACTTAGGAGCTCTTTAGTGCACTGCAAAGGGAGAATCATCCTAACCACAAGTAACTTGCATTTTAAAAAATGTCACTGAAAATTGAGAGGTTTCTGCCTTTTTGCTTGGAAAGATTTTCAAATGAAGAAAGATAACTTCAGATCTGCTGTAACACTCTGCAGTGAAGTGATTAACAAAGTTGGCACTTAAGTATCTGTAATTAGGTTTGAAAGCCACCT